AGTCTGCCATTCACCGGGAACGTTGGAGAACGGAGAAGGTAATCAACGAGACTGATTTAATATACGCGCGCATCTTGAGAAGGAAAAAGAAATCTTGTTATCCGCCTCGTGATCTTTTTTCCAAGAGAAGATGTGGCGGTTGATAGATTAGTGTAAGACCAGAAGCCTAAGTTGGTATGGAAACGTGATAGACGATAGGAATTATGAGAAGACAACAAGCGACCCATTGTAAACCGCTTCCCTTTGCACCCCTTGCGTAGGCATCTGCCCTACCTACCACATGTATTACCACATAAAGGCCCAAAGAATTCTCTTTGGCGAGGCGAGGCGATGCGAGGCGTCGCCGCCGCTGAACAAACAAATTTAATGCGCGTGCATAACGACACCAATTTAAATGATAATGCGCGGTGTGTGTGTGCCTTCAAGATTAACTCGTAATAGGCCGGAATAAATGTCGGTGGACCTGTTGGAGGTGTATCTAGTCGCCCGTTACACGGAAACAGTGGGTGCTAACTACTCCTGTAGACAAGCTTGTTTATATTGGTGCGTGTTGCGCAGTACGAAAACTGTGAATCCACACGCACGCATCTTGCGGTAGTGCCAAGAAAATTGGGTCGCCACGAATCACGTCCGCTAGATCTCTCAACGTCGTTATTAACGAGACCGCGGTGAGTTATCATCGGGCATATCGCATCGCGCTAGCATCCGCAACCCGCAATTATCTGGTCGGTTATTAAATTTTACCAACGATATTTAATTATCCTTCGACGAGGTGTTGCCGTGCGCATTAAGCGCTATGCCATAATTTACTCGATTACGTGTAGAATGTTCGATAACCGATAATCACATTCGACGTTACAAGAGATACGCGCTACCCGAATGCATCTTCTCATAAACGACCATGGCAGTTACGCGATTTTCCCGTGTTGTACGAACGCGATGCGTGATGATGGAGAAAAAAAAAAAGAATTTATGCGGGGGAGAACGATACCATGCGCGTTCATCGACTACATCGATAAATTCCGATGGTAACGAGTGGGCTTATCTTAAAGACACTTATCAACCGGCACTCCTGCCCAAGTAAATTTGCCTAATTAAAGGAACAAGATGTAAACGATTTTATTTCCATCACTGTTCGTGCTATCTGCGTATCTGCCGACCACTTGGAATGAATAAATGGTTTCCTTCGTATCTACCATTCTTTCTCTCTCTTTCTCTTCTTTCAGAAATCGAGCAACGCATTTAAACCACTACCAAGCCAGGTGCACCTGTCAAGTGCTCTATGCAGTTAGTTTGATTAATGACAGAAATATTTCTTGAATAAACAACGGGGCGCGCTTAAGCTCGTTGAACAGATTGACATTTAGATATATATACTTAAAAGCAACAACAATTTAGATTTAAAAGATAACTACGCAATTGCACGGTAAAAAGATGGTTCAAAATTAACCTTCGTTGATCTTATGTTAATATTACAAATCTAAATCACTGTGAAGAAAAATCTTCGCTGACGTATTTACTAATGAATATACGGAAGCGATCTTCTTTTCATCTAAGTTTTTTAAATATTATTAATGTAAACTATGAGATTTATGAATTATAAGATATCTTATATAACATAAATAGATAAAAAAGGCATATTCTTGGTGCCTAATAATATTTCATGTAAATTTCCAGTTTCGTCAATTTAATTTAATATTACATAGATATTCCAGTTTCAGTTTAGGACAGTTCAAAATCAATAAATAATCAGTGCGTTGTTCGTTTAAACTAGAAATTGTAAAATACAAAATATTATTAGATATTCAAGATTGACTTTAATCGAATATACCCTTCGTCGCTTATTTGTGTTAAACTTTTCTCGGTCGATTTTCATTTACTATTATTTATCTTTCATTTACTTTATTTTCAAACATTTTACTTCAAAAACAAGAATCAGAAATTTTCAACAGAAGCTAATTAGAGAGAATAATCAACCTCGATCAGAGGAAGAGTCGACGAGCCTTCGGAAGTAAGCTGCGCGAAGTAAGTTTGCCTGCGGAGGTGTCTTGTTGAGATTGTCGCAAATAGAATCATGTGCAAGCTGTGCCCTCGCTTCCTCACCTTGCCTCGCCACGCCATTGAACCTCTTTGCATATACATTCTGTAAGATTACTTTGTGCGGTTTACACCCAACCTCTCCCCTCCCCTTATTCCCTCGGTTGTCCCTCAGCAGCACGCTGCGCTTCACTTCAGCCCTCTGCTTTCGTTGCCGAGAGGCAAACTACCCTCCAAGTTTCACCCAAGGTCCCTAATGTATGCGGAACTATACAGCAGAAATTCCAAGTTCGGCATGGCCGTGTTAGGCGCCTTTACGATGAGTTTCTACCCTCTCGTTCTCTCTTTGCCGCGCTCGCGAGGGTAGGGACGAGGCTCGCTCGACAAGACTCGCCCTCCGCATAAGAGGCGAACACGCGTGATCCTAATTAGAACGCGTCCTCGAGGTGCCGAAGTAAAAGCGAGCTTCTTGTTAGGCGCCTTCGGCATTCGCGCGCGCATATACGGGAGCGTACAAGCAAGGTGCATTCTCGAAGTAAAACAATTCTCTCTCTCCTCCCTTGAATTTTGCAAACATTTCTAAAGAAATATTATCAAAATCATAATTTTCGTGACAATTGCATGATGTAAGTAGTAAAATTCGCGAGGTCGTTCAATGTTATAATTGACGAAGTTATAAAAACTTTTATACTTTTTTCAAAAATAAAACCAATTCAGTGTTAACTGAAGCAGTCGCAAGAATTCTCACAGGAAAATACAGATAAAGCATCTCGCGTTCATATTTATATAGAAAAGAAACTTTACCATTAAAGAAGCATAATGCTTATAAACGGTCACATTAGTCGAGTATTACATTGGCGTAGTACATTATTGAGTTTTGATGATTAAATGCCCGGAAACATTTTATTGAATAAATAAATACTAAGAATCAAACATACAAAATGTCGGGACATATAAATGAATTATTAAAGTAAAGTAAATACATCTGCAAATAATTTAAAAAATTCTAATTAATTATGAAAATCGCTATTATTTCAAATTTTCTTCTTCAAACATCTTTGCATTCTTTTATTTCTCCTGTTTTCCTCTATAGGAAAATGTGTTTCATCGTGATGAGGATGAGATAGTGACGAACCTGTCGCGCGTTCAATGACTCGTACGAAGAAAATATGATGGAAAACTACGTAGAATGTGTTGACGCGGCAATTGACCGGCGGACTGGCGCGGCACGCGACATCGCGCTAGACGAAACGGTCATTAGGGATGCAAAGGGCGGAATCGCGCAGCTACGTTGCATGATAATTACTGTAAAGAAAGGCCGACGAGGCTCTATCCACTGGCTTCCCGGGAGATTACAGGATGTCCGGAGGCAGGAGGAGTCTCCCCGCATGACCCGAAAACCCTTTCCGCGCTTACAAGCAATAAAAATTAACGACCGGTCCGGTCAAATCGTATATGAAAGGCGGCCCGCCAGGACCGAACTATGGCGTCTGAGTAATACATAATTATCACGGGCCATTCAATGTATACACGTGGCAATAAACAGTTTCCTTTTGTAACGAAACTGTCATATAAAGAGAACGTGTCAAAATCTTTCGGAAGCTGTTAACATTTTATTCCAAATTTCCATTCGCAAAAAGAAAATCGATGTTGTAAATCAAAATCTTATAAAATAAATATGTTATACGGCATGCTTCTTATAACAATTCATTTCTGATATAATAGTAGAAAAAAATATTGGCGTCATTTGACGTCTAAAAATATACGATGAGATTACATTAAATTACTTTAAACAATTAATGACAATTAATAATTGATAGTTAATTAGTTTAAACATTTTTTTTTAATCAAAGGAATGAGATTTTCAATTCTTCTCTAAAAGAACCGAACAAATTATGACGCAGCCACGCGCGAGAGACGAGCTGAGAGCACAGTCCGGTTATAATCGGTCAAAGGAAGCGTGAAAGAGCCGCTTCTTTTCTCCTTTATAGAGCATCTTAACCGGTCGGCGCCTTTAATCGTGAGTTCCGATAAATATATCAAAATTATGATGGAGAATCGGCTGCGTACAGGACGGGCAGCATATCCTGCTGATGCTCCATCCAACTTTGTTGGTTGCGGCGGAAAGGAGCTTGCTCTCTACTCTCCTCATGAGATCTCCAGAGCTCTCTCCTCCTCCACTTTTAATTTTCAGGCGCGGCTAATTATGATTTACGGCAACATCGGCGCAACATCCTGATCGCTACGCGAGATACCGCCCGCAGGATATTCAAATGCGATGAATATTGCTCGCCGCGATAAACGGCACACGAACGACAAGATAAACGAAGGAGAGAAAGAGAACGCGAGAAAGGAAGAATCGTCGCGAGAGCGCGTGTAAAGGATATGGAGAAAGGATTCCTAGTAGCCTACTCGGTATGCAAGATGGGCAGTCAGCCTTGTACATACCGCATCCTTCCTCCCACCCTTCGAAGGATGTATAGGCATCCGCGCGCGTGGATCGTTCCGTGCCGAATCGTTCGTCCGTAGTATTTAAAGCCCCGACGGGATAATTCAATACGGGACCCTGAACCCTTTGTGTTCCTGCATGTGTTTGGAAAACATAAGCTGTCTAGCGATGTTACAACACGATGAGCGCCATGATTCAAGCGCATGATTTCGCGCCAAGAAATCGAGGTGTAAGAAACGCCTTCTCCCAAGAGACGGCCCAAAAACACACATTGACCTATAGATAGATTTCGACATTTTTCCCCACGTAAAAAATTTTCGCGCGTGCCCTTTCCCGTAATTATACATTGTTATTAACAAATTAGAATCACTTGTACAAATAAAACTTTCCAAACACACACATTCTTTCACTTTTCTACAAAATTATTTATTCTCTCTGCTCTCTCGCGATTCTATCATTCGCAGTGGTTTATACATATACATATATAATTATGAAACAAAAAGGATATACTCACCTTATCCGTTCGTTTTCTAACAGGTACAGTCGTATCGTTATGCCGGACATGAAGATCGGTCTCGCTGGCCATTCGATTGAAGCGTTGCATTCGTTCACGAACACTCAGTTGCTCAGCCGAGGAGGAATTCGTTGTCGTTACTGCTTCATCCTCCTGTAATTTATTAGATTCGAGTCTCGGTTTTAACGTATTACAAGTGCGAGCAATAACAAATGACGAAACGATCTTGAAGGACAAAATAAAGCCTGCGATACGTGATGCTTGTTTTCCTGGAAACGTCTAGATCAAAACATCTAGGTCTGTTTGCGTTTTTGTAAATTACTAGAATTGTACCGCACAGAACGTCGAATTTCTAGTAATTTACCAAAACGCGAGCAATCCAGCAGAAAAACACGTATTATGTGCCGCAAGCTGTAGACTTTAAGACCGATATTCATAGTCGGTTCTTATATTTAACCATCATAAGTCTCAAGATATCATAAACCAATCGCAGATACCAAGAACAGTATTGGCATCCCAAGACATTATTTAAGACAGTCCTAAAATAAGAACTTGACTATATATGTATACTGGCTTAGAAGATGTAAAAAACAGTAAACAGATAATCTTGATAACAGTAAATATACAATTAGTAAAATATCAGAAATTATTTATACAACTTGAAAAAATGTAATAATAATATATAATTACAAAACAAATTTATTTATTTAAAATTTCTAATAATTTACCAAGGTGGTAAATAATTATTGTATAAAAATCGTGGTTAGGTTTACAGAAATTTAAAACAATTCAATATTAAAAGATAGTAATTACTTATTTTGAATATTGAAAGCATTGTGTAGTCCAGTGCTTTTAATATTCAAATAAATAATTAATTACTGTCTTTCAATAATAAATGGCCAGCATTAGATTATTGTTCTAACTATAAATTAATAGAAAAAAATAATCGTTTATCGCCAGCATGATATACATTCCTTTCACATTACGCGATACATCGTACGAGTATGACGATATCGATAATGGTCGTGAGTACGTTTTCAAAGAAACACAAAACAAAGTATATATAGATAAGATAATCAATAGAAAATCTACCTTTATGACGGCTTCCAAGGAGCTGTTTCGGTTTCTATCAACGTTTTCCTTGTTTTCGACCTTGAGTTTGTCTTGACTTTTGCGACGCGGTGGAACAGGTGGTGACATCGACGAACTAGGCTCCGAATCATCATTTTTTTCACGCGTGGATATCGGTGTCGCACTTTCTTCGAGGCTCACGTGAGAATTACTTGAGGATGGACTGAGGGGTGCCGGGGGCGGCGGCCGATAAGGTGGAGGCTCGCGTAGAGGAGAAACCGGAGTGGTTAAATTGGAGGTGGCGAGGGGAGATCCCACTTGCTTAGGAGGTGAAAGATCTAAGAAGGGTTGCCGATATTTCTTCTTGAGAACCAAATATTTTTCACCCTGTTAAGGAAGTTCACTTTGAGAATACTCCTAAATCGATAAGAGCGACGCAGATTTCAAACGTAACTTCGATAACTTATTTTTCTGTCATATTAAATTT